AGGCCTGGGCAAGCTCATCTGCCTCCAAAGTCCACTCCGTTCCTTCACATTCTGTTGCCCCACCGACGTTTGGAGGATCTCACCACTTGCTTTACAAATAGGGAGCTGAGTCACCAATTCACACACATATGAAATGACAAAAAAAAAAAAAAAAAATACCGGATCCTCTATCCAGAGCAATCTGACCAGAAGGAAACTATGCTCCTGGCAAATAACCTGTGTTCTGCTAGAGACTGTCCCGACGGCAGGATGCAGCAACGTTCATTTTGCCATCAAGTGACCGACTCAGGAATTTATTTAAAAACTGCCCATGTAACCTCATTATTGTTACTAAAGGAGTGAAAAAAAACTTGCACACTGTCTTCAAGACTGCATCTTGGTGAACTACCAAAAGCAAGAGGTCTCCAGCAAAGACTAGGCTGATATTCAGAAGGCCAAATGCACGGAATCTGGCTCCCTCCTCCCAACAATGTCTCATCTTAATTTATCCAAATGAACGTTATACGCCACCCTGATAATGAGGCAGCTTTCCCACTCTTTCTGTAAGATTCTAATCACAAAACCAGCCTCAAACCATTTATTCTGACAGGATCCCCTCCATGTATGAGCCAACTTGCTGCTATGGGTCCTCGAATCAGCTTACCAAATACCAACTGCTAGAAATATCAGAAACCATCTTTTTCTCTCCTCATTGTGTCAGTAATGTTGCCATGGTACAGACAAGTGCCTTGCTCGTTCAGAAACTCAGCCATTTCACTCTTCGCACTGAATTAGTTTCCGTCACAAAACCTCCTAACCTGGGTCAGAACCAGTCGCTCCCGTGCTTGGAAGATCTCGTCCACAGGGACCAAAATTAGATTCTCTGGAATACAAGATATCCACAGAGGCTTGGAAATAGTTTCAGTAGCAATCTTCACCATAAAGGTATTTACTGCAACCGGATCTGGCCTATACCAGATGGTTCTGGGATTTGATCTCCACAAAAATGTTAACAGAATGAGGCAACCCTAAGACATTCATTTCTCTCCTTATCAGCAAAGGGAAGATATCTAACAAAAAGGAGCAGAGGTCGAGGCATTATTAAATATAAACTACTGAACCAGCCCAATATGAACCTGTCTATATTCAACTAGACAGAAACACACAAATTCAGAGTCAACCACTCATCTCTAACTTCCCAGGTAGTCAACAGCTGGGAAAGCCTTCATTTCCACAGGTGCAAAACAATTTTCCCTTGGGATCAGCCTTCCTGGCAAATGAAAAGCCACCTTTGTGGCTCTCAAAAATAGCTCTACGTAAAAGAAAAAAAAAAAAAAATTCTGGCTTTTCAAGAATTAAAAATTTAAACCTTCAGAGCAAATTGAAACCCCATCTGGGAGACAGGACAGACTGTGAGTTAGAAAGCCCTACTGGGGAATCCTTTTCTTCTTTTTTTTTTCCTTTTGAAAAGCAAATTTGAGCAGAGTAAGAAAAAAAATAAGGGCTTTAGGAACCAGAATGTCCATGTTTTCCTGGTCACAAATGACTTTGTTTCTCCTGGGAGACTTTTATTTGCTTTTTAAACTCTCCCCAGAGAATATGAAAATTTTAAAGATTCTAAGTGTATGAGAGTTGCTGTTAAATCAGGGATTCTGAGTGACACCCTTTTTTGTTTTTTTGGGTTTTTTTGCACCATCCATTAATTTGAATTTTAACTAACACTGGTACATCAGTTTTGGGGAGAAAAAAGGCAGTACTGTGACATTTCAAAAACAAAGGCTACCACAATACAGTTTGACATAATTACTGGGGTTTCTTGGATTTGATACATGAGATTTCTTTGAGGACCAAAAAAACAATAAACCCTTGTGTTGATATGCCTGAGCACTTTTTAAATGTTTAGGGAAATATTTTTAAATTCAATGATTGCTCAAATTTTCACTGACAAAGAAATCCCATTTCATTAACATTTCAAAGTAGTTTTTAAATTAGCACCCCTCCACAACTTAGTAGCTCCTGAAACTTGGAAGGTTCATCTGTTAGCATCCAGTTTCTGCACTTGGCTCCTGGAGGAGGAATTTCACAAAGGAGGGGAAACTTTAAATGCAATTCCTTTTCAGCTGACCCTGAGCACTGGACAGTGTGTTCAGTTTGTGCTTCAGACATTTTTTTGCAGGATACTGTACTGTTTGGACACTTCTTCCTCCCACAATTGACTTTACACACCTAAGAGCATCACTTCCCAGAAGTTGTGGGCACACTGAGAGGAAGAACAAGTGGCCCACTGAATTGCAATTTAAATGCAATTTACACGTTTCCTCATCTGAATGTGACCTTTTTCTCCTCTTAAGAATGGAAAAAAGGAAACAGGATCTCTTGGAATGGAAGAGGGCTGTGTGTTACAAAGCTTTCTCTAACAAAGTATGTCAGGGACCAAAAGTGGGCAAGAGGGAAAACGGAACTTCAACGTGTTTTTGTCTTTTAACAGGAGAACTTATGCTTGTAAAACACATCAGAAGCACAGTGTTTGGTTCTGCAAGTCATTTCTGTTGCTGTTTTTTTCCTTGTACTCGTAGGAGAGGGGGCACTGAGAGCTGAAGGAAGTGTTCTCTCCACCATGACTGGGCATGTAACACGTTTGTATCAACTTTTCACCGTCAGGCATGTGCTTTCGAACAAAGAACAGTGGAGACAAGGAGAGGAGACTGGGTATTGACACACTTTACAGATTTGGTGCTTAAACAGTACTTTACAAATGACTTGCTTAATTTAAACGTCCATCACCATAAGAGATATTGGAGTAAAATAAGAAAATCGGATCTACTTGAACCACAATCTTTTGGGGGGGGGGAGTGGGGCAGAGGGGAGGGAGAACCTTAACTTGAATGTAAGTATCATAAACCAAATTCAGTAACCTTGTCTCCTACAAATGGACTTGAAGTATCCACTTTCTTCAAAGATGAAGGCTGGAGACAAAGCAATGAATTGAAATGACAAGAGGGATATCAAGGGCTTGAAAACATGGGCCTTTTACATAGGTTTTTGTCATGTTACAGTAACACACTTTTTTTTTGGAGAAAACTGTGTACGTCAAATTTTAAACATTAAGCATCGAAAGGATGTGCAAGTCTAAAAGGGCTCAACAGGGTTAGAATCCTGATTTGAACATATAAATTTACTCTCTCAAGCATCACTTTGATCTAAAGGCGAGGAGGAAGGCAGGCAGGAAAGGGACAAAAAGAGGGAGATAATTGAATTACTCAATAAAAGAGGCTACTTACCATCCCAACCCATTGTAAGACATACACTTCTGACATAAGAGAACTCCTTAGAGGTCGAATAAAGCCTGTAAGCACCTTTGAGTAATGTACCTGCCCCCAAGGGGGGCCCGGAAGCCCAACGTGGGCTTAGCGGAACAGACCTTCGCTAATCTGTTTATTTCCTGGAACTGGAGTCAGGCTGCGATGGGCTGCGATTCCCAGGACGATACATTTAATTAGAACAAAACAGAACAAAACAAAAAAAAAATTGTTGTAAAAGCTCACCAAACTGCTGCACTTGTGTCTCTGAATGTGGGTGGCATTTCTTTTAAAAGGCAAAGTATGGTCTGTGAAGGAGAAAGGGAAAAGGGGAGGTGGGAGTGGGGAGAAGGGGCTGTGGTGCCTGGCGGGGAGGCCCTAGCTAAGACCCCTGTCGGGGGCGACGGGGGGTCCTCAGCGGCTCCCCAGCCCAGGCAGCGACGGGGCAGCCATCTGTCCAGCGGGTTCTCTTCCCCTCCCCACCCCCGGCTCCCTCCAAGACTCGCTTTCCTGCCAGCTGAAACCCTCCTTCCATTTCCAAATCCCCTCTCTAGCTACGCTTCCCCTGCCCCACCAGGAAAGAGTGGGCGAACCCTGCACCCCAGCCTTGCGCTGGAGCAGGGGAAACGGGGCCCCAACCTCGCCCTGAAACGCGCTGGGCTGGCCCCTTTATCGCCCTCCACAGAAGGGTGTGGGGCGAGCCCATTTCGCAATTAATAAACGCGAGGGGGGGCGCTCCCTTTCACCCCCTGCCAAAGCACAAGGAAGCCTCGTTCTCTCTTCCGGAAGGGATGGCGCCGTATTTTAGCCCGAAAGAAGAGGAAGCCCCAGAAGAGGGGACCGACTTGCTCTCCCCTCTATGGCAGGGAAACCAAACCTCTCCCGCTCCCCGCCCTCCCCCCCAAACCGCATCACCTACCTAAAAAAAGCGAGAAGACCCCTCCCTTTCATGGGGAAGGGTCTTCTCCAAAAGAGGCAAGGGCTTCCATCAAAGGGGCTAGCGATCCCCCACCTTTTCTGCCCTCTAGGGAATAGCCAGGGAACACCTCCCGCCAAAAAAAATACTGCAAGAGCCCCCCCAAAGAACCCCCCCACTAGGAGGATGGAGAAAGGACTGAACGAACCCCACTTTCTGCCTCCTAAGAAAACTAGGATACCTTTCCAAGTAGGGCAGGGCACACCTCCCCCAGGAGAAAGGATACTGCCGGGGGCTGGGAGACCCCCAACTCCAAATCCCCAAGAGCGGGGGCTGTTGCTCGAGATCTCCCCGAAAAAGGGTCCGGGGGCCCCTCCCCCCACCCTTTCCCTGAAGCCAGGCGACCGGCAGGCGGGCCCGTGGCTGCAAGGTCCGGGCGCTGGGGCAGCCTGGACCCCCCGTGGGCCTCCGCAGCCCCCCCCGGCGCCCCCTCCCCAGGGCGGGCAGGCGGGCGCGGGGGGTCCGGGGGGCGCCTCCTCACCTTCCCCTCAGCATGGCGCCCAAAAAAGACAGAGCGAGTGCGAGGGAGAGCGGGCGAACGCCGCGAGGGGGGGGAAACGCATGAGGCCAGAAGAGAAAGCAAGCGAGAAAGAGCGAGCGAGCGAGAGACACCCACCGACCCCGCCCTTCCTCCTCCTCCTCCTCCTCCTCCTCTGCGGCCCGGCCCAACATGGCGGCCGCCCCCCTTCCTCCTCCTCCTCTTCCTCCCCCCGGGGACGCTGCCCCGGCCGGGCCGGGGGCCTGACCTGTCGTCAGGGAGCGGGAGGCGGTGGAGGAGGTGCGGGGTGGCCGGGCAGGCGTCGGGGGAACACGGAGGAGGCGAAGGCGTTGATGGCGGCGATGGCGGCGGCGGCGATTCTGATGGCGGCGGCGGGGGGGTCCCGGGCGCGGCCTCCATAGTTCCTTTGGGGGGGAGGGGATGTTAATGCACGAAAAAGGACTGCTTGGGCGTGGCGGGAGGGGCACACTTCAGCTCTGAGGGCTCCTGATAGGAACAGGTATATATTTTTTCGGTTTCGGAATCACCTCTGCGCCGACCTCCACGTAAGCCGCGCGGCCTAGGCCTCGGCGGGCCGCTCGCCGCCTGCTTTCTCCGCAGCCCGCTCCTGGGGGTCACTCGCTCACGGGCAAGGGGCCCTCATTGGGGCGAGAGCCCCCCCACACACACACACCCGCGGGCCCGGGAGTAGGACACCCGGGGTACACGGACACTGGTGGGTGGTTGGGTGTAATTAGCGCGGGCCGCGCGCGATGGAGCAAGCGAGGGGGAAGGGGGAAAGAGGAGAGCGAGCGAGAGGGGTTAAGAAAAAAGGATTTTAGGGAGAGAGAAACGGGCCGACTGTCTTGTCTGTCTGCCCGCCCTCGGTGCCCTGGCTGTCCGGCCCGCGCCGCAGTCAGAAATTCACACAAAATGGCGGCGTAGCCTGGACAGGCTGGGAGGCTAAGGCGGGAGGAAGGGTGGGGTGGGAGGGGGAATTGGGAGGCGGAGGCCGCGTCACGTGAAGGAGAGAGGGTACGGACTGCTCTCCCGAAGGGCGGCGAAAAGAGCCGAAGGGAGAGAGTGAGACCGAGGGGAGTCGGAAAAAGCCGAAAAGAACTGAGCTGGAGACAGGGACAGGCGGAAAGAGCCGAAGGTGCTGGTGGGGGAGGAGCTAGGGAGAAAAACAGGAGGTCCCTAGGAGCCGGAAATAGCCGAGGCGGATCGGGACTGGGAAACAAGGAACTGAGGTTATCCGTAAAGAGCCGAAGTCGGCGTCGGGGTGGGTGGCAGGAGGCGGAAACAGTCGAAAGAGGCCGCGCGCGGATAAGGAGGTTTAGAAGGAAGGAGCTCAAGGGCGGGCTAGAGAGGCGATTAAATAAGAGAGCAAACGATTTTAAGTAATTCACTCGAGAGGATGCGGAAAGAACCGGAAATTGCTAGCTTGAGGGAAGGAGGGAAGAGTAGGAAGTTTTAGGTGGAAGGATGGGAGGGAAGGATTTCGGGCTACGGAGAGAAAAAAATAACCTAAAGCCGGAGGCCGGGTGCTGGAGTTGTAGGTTTCCGGAGAATGGGAGGATGGAGCCAGGCAGGCGGGCAGATGATGTCATTAGGGACCTCGGTCAGTGACTTCATCCCTGGGCGGTGCAAGAGGGCGGGCTTTGGTGGAGTTTAAGAACCTGGTGCGTGGTAGGTGGAAGGCTCTCAAGTGCTTTATTTGGAAGCCCTAGCCAGGTTCGTACAGTATGAGAACGTAAAATCCTTTGACCCTCACAGCTATACTCTGTGGAGCTATTGTTCTTCCCATTTAATGGGTGCAGACGGAACCTGGTATTTAAGTATTTGGCTCAAGGTTCTAGGATTTGCCATAAGCATCACAGATTTTTTTTAAACCATAGCTAGATTTCGATTGCCTCCTAGGAGTGACTAGTCTATGGACCTCTGGGAAGGCACTCACCCTGGAGTTTATAAAAAGGCATGACCTCGTCTTAATCTGCCTGGCTCAGTTGGTTGAGCGTCATCAACAAAGCAAAGAATTACCAGTTGGATTCCTGGTCAGTGCTCATGCCTGGGTTGCACACTGGTCCTGGTCGGGGCATGTGAGAGAGGCAACAGGTGGATGTTTCTCTCACCCGTGGATGTTTCCCTCCTTCTCTTTCTCCCTCCCTTCACCTCTCTGAATAAATAAAATATATATATGTGTGTATATATTTTTAAGTCATGACCTCTTCTTCTGAGAATTAGCTCTTGGATTATTCGTGGGTTCTGTGAAGGCCAGATGACTGGCCACAATCCCAGATGTTGATGTATTTAATATGGGACACACCAAGTGACGAAAACGGGCCCAGCATCACTTCCTCGTCACCTGAAATGGTAGCTTGGGACTGAACTCAGGCAAGTAGTGTAAATCAGGTCTCACACATCCAGTGTCCCACTTCCCAGCCACTGGTGGCAGATTGATTACAATGGATCCTTTCCAACGGGAAAGGTCACCAATTCACCTTCATTGAAATAATCACTTGTTGGAAATTGGTGTTATTTTTCCCTCTGGCTGCCCCATTTTTGCCAGCATTACCACCCCTGGACTTTACTATTTTCACAGTAAAATTTTTTAAAGGTTAAAAACATGCCCCTCACGTACAAATATTGTGAACATGCATCAATTATATTATTTTCATTACTGAGAGAACCAGCAGAAAAATAAAGCTGGTTCAAGGAATGAACTTGAGGAACGGGTAGGTATGGAGAGAGGAGGAAAGAATGCTGGAACCAGGTTGGAGGGTTTGATACAAAACTGGTTAATGTCTTTCAGGTTGTATTTTCTGTTGGACAAATATCATTTGAAACTTAAGAATCTTCCATAACTTTACCACGTCTACTCCCTAATCAACAATTAAGTAGTAAGTCCAAGTAATATCTAGAATGTCAGAAGGGCTTGGTATTGTCAAAGCATGGGAAAAAAATCTTACCTGATGAGATTTGCTGGTGTTTTTGTTTTCCTTGTTACCTAAAAGCCAGTGGCCGTCCAGAATTGTGGGATGGCCTGTGACGCTTCAGAGATGGCACCAGCGGGAGATCACATCTTGAAGGGGTAGGGCGCTGTCCTCCTGGGTGTGGTCTACAGTCTCAACCAGTGTTGTTTCGTCCATAACTAGAATACATGGAACTCAGAAATCAAGGCATAAAATGACACCTTTTACAGTGACCCATGTTGACACATTTACAGCATTTTTCCTTCCTATTCCCATTACCCTGGTCTACTAGCTCTTGGTGCGTTTAAAAAACTTTTTTGGACATTTTCGTTATAAGCACATGCCAATATTTTATTACAATCATGCATGCAAGGAAAGAAAGGTCTCCCTCTTGTAAGCCAACTAAAAGGTTTGCTCTCACTAGGGACATTTTATATGACAAGAAAAAAGTACTGAGATGTCCTAAGTTAAGCAGGCCAGTGGAGGGTGAAAGGAAGAGATCAGAGATGTTAATTAGTTAAGAACTGCAGAGCAAAACCAACACAAGCTTATGTTCCTGAAAGTACATTGAAATTTTGAATTAATTTCCAGGTGGCTATTTCTGAGATTTTCTAGAAAGCATAGCCAAGGTTGGTGGTTTCTGCCGGTTAGAGAATTGCTTGGTGTGAAAGTAGAGTGACCAGAGTAGGGAAGGAAGACGGGAATTCCCTTAAAAACACTCTGGAAAATAGCCAGGCTGTATGAACTACACAGCTGCACAGATACCAGCGCTATGATTCAGCAATTCCACCCAGGAGTATATATATCTAATGAAAGTGCATACCAGGAGACACAAGCAAAAATGCTCATGGCAAAACCATTTGAAATAGCCCCTAACGCCTTTGGGCTCAAAGCAGCACCATGGCAGTTGGCAAGAACAAGCACGTTATGAAAGGTGGCAAAAAAGGAGCTGAAAAGAAAGTGGTTGATCCATTTCCTGAGAAAGATTGGCATGAAAGAACCAGCTATGATCAATATAAGAAACATTGGTCCTGACCGGCGTGACTCAGTGCGTTGGGCAACGTTCTGCAAAATGAGAAAGGTCGACACTTCAATTTCCAGTCAGGGAACATGCCTGGGTTGCAGGTTCGTCCTGGGTCAGGACGCGTAGGAGAGGCAACCAATCGCTGTTTCCCTTTCACATTAATGTTTCTCTCCTACCCTTACCCCTCTCTAAAAAAATAAATCAATAAAATCCTTTTAAAGAAAATGTTTGAAAAACACTAGTCATGGGGACTCAAGGAACCCAATCGTATCTGATGGTCTCAAGCGTCGTGTTTTTGAAGTGAGCCTAGCTGATCTGCAGAATGATGGAGGTGCATTTAGAAAACTCAAGATAATTACAGGGGATGTTCAGGGCAAAAACTGCCTAATTTCCATGGCGTTGCTCTTACCCGTGATAAAATGTATTCCATGGTCAAAAAAGGGCAGTGTCTTTTTTTTTTTTCTGCTAGACCATGACTGAAGCTCATGTTGTGAAAACTATTGATGGTTATTTGTTTTGTCTATTCTGTGTTGGTTTTACAAAACAAAACAAACAAACAAGCAAAAAAAAAAAAAAACCCTCAGATTCCAAAGACCTCTTTTGCTCAGTATCAACAAGTCTGCCAAATCCTGCAGAAAATGATGGGAACTATGACCCAAAACGTGCAGACAAATGACTGGAGAGGAGTGGTTAATACATTGATTCCAGAGAGCATTGGAAAAGGCTTGCCGATCTCTTCATCCGCTACATGACGACTTTGTTCAAAAAGTCAAAACACTGAGGAAGCCCAAGTTTGAATTAGGAGAACTCATGGAGCTTCATGGGGAAGGTAGCAGTTCTGGAAAAGCTATAGGGGATGAGACCGGTCCTAGAGTTGAATGAGCTGATAGATATGAGCCACCAATCCAAGAATCTGTTTAAAATTCAGAATTTTAATGGTGGCAAATAAAAAAAGAATCCTACTTATGCCCTGGCTAGTGTGGTTCAGTGGATTGAGTGCCAGCCTGCAAACCAAAGGGTTGCCGGTTCAATTTCCTGTCAGGGCACATGCCTGGGTTGTGAGCCAAGTCCCCAGTGAAGGGGACCACAGTGAGAGGCAACCACACACTGATGTTTTTCTCTCTCTTTCTCCCTCCCTTTCCCTCTCTCTAAAAATAAATAAAATCTTTTTAAAAAATCCTATTTGTGATATTAAAAAGAAAGAGAGAGCCCCTAACTGGGAATTACCCAAACGTCCATTCACAGGAAAACAGACAGTAAATTGCAATATATTCACCACTTCTGAGAACCCCTGGGTCACTGGGTTAGAAGAGCTAAATGGCAAAATCCTTTGCAGCACATCTTGGACCAGCTAGAGAACCTCCTTTTGCATAGTACCTGAGCAGCCTCAGAGCTTTCTTTGCTTATGAGTGAGAGCAAACTTCCCAACCATGATACAAGTTGCCTCCAAAATTCCAAGACTACCAAACATTGTGACTTTATGGGGTGTGTGTGTGTGTGTGAGAAAAATTGTAGCTTTCAGCAACTTGCCCTTTATCTTGAAAAAAGAAATTGCAACATA